CCTCATTTCAATCCTGAGCAACAAATATTCTCCTTTGTGGGTATCTGGTTCTTTTCCTAGACTTTTTGCAGAGCATAATTCCTCCTGTTTCCTCCTCCTTTCTCTTAGTTATATGAAGTATCAAATGTTAAACTGGAAGAGATCAACAGAATTCCTTTTTAACATCTGCACACTTACTTTGTGCTGCCCTCTTGAAATCTCAAGAACTTCATAAACGTGGCCGGAAAGTTTTTCATTGTGTTTATTAAGCACATATTGAACAGAGTCTACCACGTGAGGGTTATTCGGAGGCAACAGAATTGGACATTTAGAACAATTTTGCCGCACACCTTCCACAGAACCTGGAAAGAAAAAGAAATGTCAAGAAGGGCGTTTAAAGCAGATGGCAGTCTTAGCTGAGAACTGCTGCAAAAGAGCAGTAGAACCTACACCATTTCAGACAAATGGCTGTCCCATCTCTTCTTAAAAGCTTCCAGTGTTGGAGCACCCACAACTTCTGATTCATTATCCTAACTTTCAGGAAATTTCAGGCAGCAGGTTAAAAAAAAGTTGGACAGCAGGTTAAAGTTACAGCTTTTTCAATGGGAGAGAACAAGTATAGGTAGTCCTTGACTTATGACCACAATTGAGCCCACAATTTCTGTTGCTAAGTAAAACATTTGTTAAGTGATCCCTGATCTCCCTTCCTTCCGCCGCGCCCTTAAGACATGGTTATTCCAGCTTGCAGGACTGGCCTAGGGGAAAATTTTTAATGGGGGTTTTAAAGTAATTTTAAATTAATCAGACCAATTATGAATATTTGTTTTTAATTATGTTTTAATCTGTAGTTTTGGGATTTGCATTTTTATCTGGTTGTTAGCCGCCCTGAGTCCGCAAGGAGAAGGGCGGGATATAAATATAAACAATAATAATAATAATAATAATAAGTGAATATCCCCATTTTACGACCTTTCTTGCCACAGTTGTTAAGTGAATCACTACAGTCTTAAATTAATCTCACTGTTGTTAAGTGAAACACTGAAAAAAGGGACTTAATGACTGTTTTTCACACTTATGGCCCTTTCAGCCTCCCCATGGTCACGTGACCAAACTTCAGACACTTGACAACTGCCTCATATATAGGATGACTGCAGTGTCCTTGGATCNCCCTCCCCCCCACCCTGGATCCCCCTAAGAATTTCTTAAAACACCCCTGTAAAAAAGTTCTCAGATTGGCCAATTTAGCTAATTTTTTGTTTGTGGCTGCTGCATGCCACCTCTCGGGGTTCCACACCCCATCCTCAAGGTAGGCCCTAGAAATGCTACTGGGCCAGGCCTGCGCGAGGGGTGAATCGCGCAGGACCAGCAGGATCGTCTTGGAGTACATAGATCAGCAGCGGGAGTCCATGGCACAGAGGGGAAGATGTTATCTGGCCGTTCCCAGATCTTCTAAAACCAAACCCGGCCGAAGTCTCTGCAAAGGCCGCCGAGGTCGCCGGAGCCGCCGGAAGGGCCCCAAAGCTGCCAGAAGGCCACCAAGGAAGCCACCAACGCCATCGGGACCGGAACTACCGAGGCCACCGGTGAAGATCTTAAAAGGGCCGCCGAGGCTGCTGGTCGGGGCCGCTGGTAAAGGTCGCTGGTGAAGGCCGTTAGCAAGGGAGCCGCCGCTGGTAAGGGCCGCTGGCAAGAGGGCCACCGAGGCCGCCGGCGAAAGCCACTGGCAAGAGGGCCGCTGGTAAAGGCCACTTCATCACCTCCAGTGATGAAGCACCCAGAACCTCTCAGCCAAGCCATCCCACTGATTAATTGTTCTGTCAGGAAATTTCTCCTTAGTTCTAGGTTGGTTCTCTCCTTGATTAGTTTCCATCTGTTGCTTCTTGTTCTGCCTTCAGGTGCTTGGGAGAATAGGTCAACCCCATGTCTTTCTAGAGGTGCTGAACTATAATTCCCAGAATCCTCATTCAGAGTGATTAAGGCCATCTGGCCACAAACGTAAAGCAAAACAAAGGGCAAGGCAATTTTATAATTGAACAATTTATTTAGAAAGTATCTTCTGCTTTTTTCTGTCATTTTTTGGACTGTATTCAACATTGCCCCTGTCAAATAATGTAGAATAGTGAAACATTCTGGGGAAAACAAATCTTGTAAGGAATAGAGGTGATGGGACTTTGGGGGTATTGTTGTCAAATGCTATGCATTTTCTCTTTAAAAGAATAAAAAGGAAGAATTTGGACTTTAGGACTAATATAACTTCTGATCAACTTTCTTCTTGTTCCTTGGCTGAACAGAGAGAGGGACAGGAAGATGTTAAGTGAGCATCAGAATCTTTATTTCTATAAGCAGAAAGGCACAAATACAAAGCCCCTTTCTTATAACAACCATGGGTGATCATAACACTTGGCAAAGACTGTAATGTGTCAGGGTAAACACTTTTTGGATTCAAGCTTTGAGTTCAGATTTGGAAAACGGTTTTGCACTAACTGGGTGGTTTCTCGATGCTCTCTAGTACAGCCGGAAGTGATGTACTTTTCCTGGACAACCTTTCACAGGGGTTGTGTGATGATCTGATATGTCTGTTGGGAGTTCTTTCTTGACGAAAGCAACTGGGACATCCGCCACATGTTCATGAGACTCGTGTGAGGTGCTTGTATGATTGTCTGGATGGACGAAGTTGAGGATAGTAATGTTGTGTTCTGGGGAAATACTGTTTTTTTCAATGTGTTGCTGAATCAAATGGGAGTGAGCGTGTCCATCCTGGAAAAAAAAACCACAAAACATGCAAGCACTGATGAGTCTTCTTCGGCCATTGAACCTGAAGCTTATCCTGCTTTGAACTTTCCAACACATTAAAATCCAGCTTGACAAAAGAGAATCAAGAAAACCAACTGCTGTTAATATTTTCAATACAGGTAGTCCTCGACTTACAATCATTCTTTTAGTGACCCTTTGAAATTACAAATGCCCTGAAAAAAGCAACCTATGACTGTTTTTCGCACTTACGACCCTTGTAGCATCCCCATGGTCACATGATCAAAATTCAAATGCTTTGCAGTCAGAATCTATTTATGACGGTTGCCGTGTCCTGGGGTCTTGTGATCCCCTTTTGCGGCCTTCTGACAAGCAAAGTCAATGGGGAAGCCGGATTCACTTAACAACCGTGTTACTAATTTAACTACGGCAGTGATTCACTTAACAACTGTGGCAAAAAAAGAGTTTAAAATGGGGCAAAACTCACTTAACAATAGTCTCGCTTAGCAATAAAAAAATGAGGTTGTGGTCTTAAATTGAGGACTTGCTATAATTTAGC